TAAGTTCAGCCCAGCTGGGCTCATCCTCTTCATCTGGGTCTGCAGGGACATGATCACTCACAACTCCCAGCAGCTGACAGACACCGGATACTCATTAGATACAGTGAATTTTGATGTCACTAAGGGTATGCCATTGCATGTCATGTGGTCTCAATGTAATACATCACTATGTAAAAGTTGTGTGGGCAATATAGTCATCAAAAATTTTGATAAATCCATTGATAATAAAGGATCATATTGTATATCTGCTTTTTGGAAACCTCCTTTCTTGTAAGGTGGTATGTGATGAAAATGGGTCAAAGGGTTCTGGATTTATATACTTTTGAGATAGAAGAAGCTGCTGAAAGAACTATTGAGAAAACGAATAGAGTGCATCTTAATGATCGCAGAGTTTCTGTCAATTTAAATCCATAAAGAAAGACAAGCAGAAATGGGAACTAGAGCAAAAGAGTTCATCAAGTGTTTACACCAGAAATTTTGGTGAGGACATGCATGATAAAAGACATAAGGAGCTCTTTGGCAAGTTTGGAACTGCATTAAGTGTAAAAGTAATGATTAGTGCAAGTGGAAAATCCAAAGATGTTGGCTTTGTGAGCTTTGAAAGACATGAATATGGACAAAAAGCTGTAGATGAAATGAATGAAAAACACGTGTGTGGGCTGAGCTTGGAAAAAAGTGGAACATAGATCACAAGCACAAATTTGAACAAATGAATCAGGATAGGATTACCAGATACCAGAGTGTTAAACTGGATATGAAAAATCTTAATGGTATTGAAAATAGTTCTCACTATTTGGTACTAGTGCAAAGGTGATGGTAGAAGGTGACTCTGTCAAAGGTTTTGGATTTTTATGTTTCTTTTCACCGGAGGAAGCCACAGTCACAGAAATGAATGTCAGGATCATTGCCACTAAGCCACTGTATGTAGCTTTAGCCCAAGCAAAGAGGAGCAAATGGCAAGTGTCTGAGCTGTGCTCAACCTTGTGTAATCAACCCCTATTAACCTCCTTCATGGCAGCTATTCCTCAGACTCAAAACTGTGCTTCATATTGTCTTGCTAGTCAAATTACTGAATTCAAGTCAAGTCTTTACTGGATTGCTCGGGCTGCCAGACCTCATCCATTCCAGAACATGCCCAGTGTAACCCACTCAGTAGCTCTGAGGATGCCATTTAGTACAACGAGACCAACTTCTTCACAGTTTCAACTCAGATGATGGTTCCACATCCCACCAGCTGGTGCTGCTGCAGCTACTCATGCAGTCTGCACAGTTCCACACTTTAAATATGCTGCAGGTGTTCACAATCCTCAGTAGCATCTTATTGCACAACCACAGGTTACATGCAGCAGCCTTTTATTCATGTGCAAGGATAGGAACCTTTAACTGCGTCCATGTTGGCATCCATCCCTCTTCAAGAGCGAAAGCAGATGTTGGGTGAATGGCTATTTCCACTCATTCTGGCCATGAACCCCACTCTGGCCATTCTAAAATTAATAAAGCCATAGCCATACTGCAAGTGCACCAAGCTAAAGAAGCAGCCCAGAAAGCATTTAATAGTGCCACTGGCATTCCAGCTGTTTAAAAGAAAAGATCAGGGACTGTGAAATGGAACTTCTGCTTCACTGAAGACAAATACCTAAACATCAGAAAACTTAAATATTATGAAAAAATTGCAAAATATAAAATAGGAAACTGAAAAAAAGTAACTATTTTCAGGTTTTTAGATGTTTTCATGGTTTTTGCTGATTTTTTTGTCTGTTTAAGAAGATATTCTTTGTTATATGGGATGACTATCTTCAGGAGGGAAAGCAGATGGATACTGGGAGAAATTTTTGCAATGTAAAAACAAACTATCAATAAAAACTTTTTGAAATTTGTAGTCATCTTCCATTTAGAAACAGACTTTCAACTGTTCAAAAATTTTATTCAAATTTTTGCCAAATGAAGAAGTAGCAGAGAAATCAAAATATTTTAAGGAAAAATTAACAGCCATTTTAAGGCAAAATGGGAAATATTATCCATAGTTACCTAGTAAAAACAATACTTGTTAGAGGAAATAAGGATGCCTTCCATTCCTGTGTTAAGGTCATACAAGATTGCTAAATAGGTTCTACCACTTAGCCTTTTTTAGTTTTGCTTTGATTATCAAGCCAGGCATAAAATAAGACAACTTGTACTTGCGAAAAGGTATTTGCTATTGAGAATGTTAAACATGAAGTCCAAATTGGAGGGATTCCCTACAGATAGTGAGGTTTTCCAGATGCTTTTGAATTCCAGAATAATTTTAGGGCTTTTTCAATGAAATCTGAAGTCACTCAAAGCCATTGGTCTTTTTTTGTGTGTTTTGACTTTTGCTCTGACTGGTTCATGGTTTAATTATACAGAAATGATTCTGAAATAATTCCTAAGTTAGTGACCTGTACATTAAAATAGTCGATTTTATGTAATGATGTTTGATGCTTTCAGTGTCTAGCACCTTCCCACCCTCTTAAAGAAAGTATGTAGGAGCAGCTAGGTGGCTCAGTGGATAGAGCAGCGGCCCTGGAGCAAAGAGGATCTGAGTTCAAATCTAGCCTCCAACACTTACTAGCTGTGTGACCTTGGGCAAATCATTTTACTCTGATTGCCTAAAAAAAAGAAGTATGCACAATTATACAGGATTGAAGCTTCTGAGTTGTCTATAAGACTGCCTTCCCTCTCCCCCCTTCTCTGTGCCCATCTTCACATTAAAGTTAGAGTGTCCATTTTTGGGGGATCTGATCAGGTTTTTAATAGGATTCTCCAGAATAAATGCTAGTGTATAAAGCACAGTTAACTTGATGGTAGTACTCACAATGAAGTAGTGGAGGTTTACCTCATTGATGCTTCTTATTGGAAGCGGCTCCTTTTTTTTCTGTCTAAGAGGAACCTGTGAGCCATCCTTCCATCCAGCTGTGGCTTCCTTATGTCTTCTGGTGTATTGAGAATATTGATGTAGCTCATTTCCTGTAGATTTTGCCTTGAGTACTAACAATTAGTATTTATCAGTAGTCTCTAAAATGTGCTTGTTTCTTCTGTCCCCTTTTCTGTGACTTCCAGAAAGCCATCCTTTATCCTGACTGTAACTGAACTTTTACTGTGAACCTTCTCTCTACTTATGTATTTGATATATTATTTTGCTGTATACTCTTTCAGAATGTTTTGTAAGTGTTCTGAATGAGTTTTATGTGAATATTATATTGTTCTAGCTACTGTAATTTCTTGGAGGGTAGGAACCTTTTCTTTCCTTTCATCTTGGAAGGAGGGGAATGTCTTAGCATCCGGGATCTTGGTTAACATCTCGACCAATGCCTTCCTGTTATAGATGAGAAAATAGATTAAGCTTGGAATGTTCTCCCTAACCCTCCTCAGCGCCCGATCACCAACCTTTTTAGCTTCCTTGAAGTCCCAGCTAAAATTCCATTTGTTACGGGAAGCCTTCTCCAACCCCTTTTAATTCTAGTGCCTTCCTTGTTAATTATTTACTGTTTATCTTGTAGCAACTAAGTGACGCAGTGGATACAAAACAGGGCTAGGAATCAGGAAGCCTCATCTTCATGAATTTGGCTTCAGATACTTACTAGCTGTGTGACCCTGGGCAAGTCACTTAACCCTGTTTGCCTCAGTTTCCTTATCTGTAAATGAATTGGAGAAGGAAATGGCAAGCCACTCCACTATCCTTGCCAAGAAAACAGCAAATGGGGTCTTGAGGGGTTGCACACAACTAAACGACACATTTATCCTGTACATAGTTTGCTTTGTATGTGTTTGCATGTTGTCTTCCCCATTAGATTGTGAGTTCCTTGAGGTCAGGGACTTTTTTCCTCTTTTTGTATCCCCAACACTTAGCACAATACCTGGTAACAGAGTAGGCTTTTAATAAATGATTTGATTTGAATTGGTTGATTTGATTAATTGTCCAAGATCACAGAGGTAGGACTATGATTTCCTGAATACTTCATTTTGCTGCCCTCCTTACATACTCACTTGGTCTTTATTCTTGAGCATGTTTTGGTCAGCTCTTTGCCCCGAATGCTTACTAAAGCGAATAACTGGAGTATGAAATTGAAAGAAAATTTTGATGAGTTTGATTTTGTTCCAAAAATTTCTCGTATTTCTTTAGACTGTGATCTCTTAGATCAGTTTTTCTGATTTTATCCAGATTTTAATCCAGTTTTTAAATCATCTAATTTAAGGTTTTCCTCCCACTGGAATCTGTAATTTAGAATTTTGCAATTAAAAGAAAGATTTTTAAAGAGTTTTAGTCTTCTTTACTGTATAATATTATAGTATTATGTAAGCCTCAAAATGAAAGTGATTCACAGAGCCATCCGTAATAGATGCTAGTTGTCCAGTCCATCCTGGGACAAATCTTACTATATCCTATATTCTGTTTGATTATCCGTCTAGTGAAAAATTTTTATTCTGTGAAAGCAGATTAAAATAAACGAAAGAAAAAGGACCCACAAAGAGGAATTATGTTGGGAGTGGGATCTAGGAATGAAAATACCAGTGTTTTTGAAGTATACTTTTAAAAAGCAGCATCTAGTAAAGTCACCACATTCTCCTCCTCCAACTACTTTTCTGGTCACTTTTTTTATTTTGAATGCTATTAAAATAAATTATTGAGATATTTATGAAATAAAAAGTAAATTTTGATGAGTTTGATTTAGTTCCCAGAATTGTATCTCATATTCTTGTCTTTAGATTGAGATCTCTTAGATCAGTTATATTGAGTTATCTTTTGAGATTTTAATCCAAATTTGTAAAAATCTTATGTGGGGCAAAGTAGGCTGAGGTGATATACTCTAATTCTAGGCATTGTATTTTTCACTATGATAATTTATTATAGTAGAACATGTGATAGACTAAGGGAGCAAAATGACTGTAGTCACAAATTTAGGAAATATTTTGAATTCTGGGAAAAGATTTGTGGGTCAAAACATACTTAGAAGCTTACTCACATGCCATATCTTTTGTAGGTAAAAAAAATTCCCATATGAAGAAGAAAGACTTTCTTCAATATGATGGATTCAGAAGCTCATGAAAAGAGGCGAAAAATCCTGTCTCCTTCACAGCAGGATATATCACCTCACACTGTTCATGAGTTTAAGCATTACCTTTGTGGCTGCTGTGCAGCCTTTAACAACATCGCAATCACATATCCCATTCAGAAGATCCTTTTTCGGCAGCAGCTGTATGGACTCAGAACTCGAGGTGCAATACTTCAGTTACAGAAGGAGGGATTGCGAAATTTGTACAGAGGAATTCTGCCTCCGTTAATGCAGAAGACTACAACATTAGCACTTATGTTTGGTCTCTATGAAGATTTCTCTTCCATTCTTCGCCAGCATATCAGTTCTGAAATTGTGACTCGAAATGCGGCAGCTGCTCTGGCTGGTGCAACAGAGGCACTTCTGACACCACTGGAACGCGTACAGACATTGCTGCAAGACAACAAGCATCACGATAAATTTGGAAACACTTATCATGCTCTCAAGGCTTTGAGATCCTATGGAATTGGAGAATATTATCGAGGTTTGATACCCATTCTTTTCCGTAATGGACTCAGCAATGTACTATTTTTTGGCCTTCGAGGACCCATCAAGGAACATTTGCCTGAAGCAAAATCTTGTAGCGCTCATTTGATTGATGATTTTATCAGTGGAGGTTTATTAGGTGCCATGTTGGGATTCTTGTTTTTTCCAGTGAATGTTGTCAAAACTCGAATGCAGTCTCAGATTGGTGGGGAGTTTCAGTCTTTCCCTAAGGTTTTTGGAAAAATCTGGCTAGAGCGTAATGGGAAATTGACACATCTTTTCAGAGGCGCCCATCTGAATTACCATCGATCCCTCATATCCTGGGGCATAATCAATGCAACTTATGAGTTCATGTTAAAGCTTTTATGAAAGATGTCATCAATAAATCCCAATAATAAGCTCAGTAGAACTTCCAAGAAGACTTTAGTTATACCCTGGTTAACAGGCTGAATACTAGACAGTGTCATAACTCAAACTGAGCAAGATGAAACATGAGCAAAGTAATTTTTCTTTGGGATAAAAATGAGAATAAAGGTTTATGGGTAGCAAAGTTAAAATTATTTTTATCAATACTTGCTAGGTCTAGACTTTTGTTATCATTAATTACCATCAGTGTCGATGGAAAGGTTCAAAGTCCAAGACAAGATTTTTTTTTTAAAAAATATAAATTCTTTGAACCATCTGTATTAAAACTTGAGCTGCCATGAACAGCTGGAGAAAGGAGCCCTAGTGTCTTGAGATTTCTCAGGCATTTTGTGCTTCACTCTCTTGTTTACTCTCTAGAGCTGTAGAAAAGGGTCTTTAGTTTTGCAAAACAGAGAAGAGAAGCAGCTCTATTAGGTATGGGCTTTTCATGAAAACTGCCTACCTTTACTGTAAAGCCAAATGTGTACAGTTACCAAAACTGGGTTGCTCTTAAGTCACATAGGATTTTATTTGTGTTGATGGAACTGAGCAACTTTTATTCGCAAAATAACTTCCTGTTCTGAAAGACTCAAAACTTTAAATTAACAATTATAAGCTCTAGTTTTCTTTTCTAAATGTAATTCTCTTTATTAGATCCAATATTTATGTTGAACCCTTCTTGAATAACTTTAGATGTTGATTTATCCTTTTTAAAGTTAATTTCATCACAAAAATGAGTAAACTTGAATCTGTTAGTTTGTCTTTTGAAACAAAAATTTTCATTCCATTCTCACATGACATAGAACTGTGTTTCATTGAATTAGTGCTTCATCAGCAAAGGTGTTTTGTTTTCTTGCAGAGTCATAGTTAGGTAACTTGAAATTCCACTAATTCTATAGACCTTCTTCCTCCCTCCCTCCCTTAAAAAGAAGCTGCTTTATTTAGTTGTTACTTCATCTCCACCTCAGGTATGTGTCCTGGCTTTGCAAAAGTTCATTATTTTGTAGCCTATGCTTTCTTTGGTTTCTGAACATAAAGAAAAATCCTGAACTCTTGCTTTCTATTAGACTAGCTAATTTTTGCATTCACTTAGTAAATTTGTGTTGGGACCCAAATTTTACATTATCTTCACAAACCATAAAACTCATCCAAGTCTTAAAGTCCTGGGTAAGACTTTGGAATTTTAGCGTTTGACACTAACTAGATATCTTGACAGCTAGTAGCTAAACAAATTGGAAATATCATTTATGAAGAAATGCTGTTTAAATCTCTTTTTTTTTCTTCAGGTAAATAACATGGTTGAAATGACTGACATAAATCAGAATCTTACAAACATCCTGAGAAAATTATTTTACCTGTAAAAGAGCTATTAAATATTATTTAACATAGGTTGGTTTTAAATATCTTACATCAGTGACTTTTCAACTTTTTTACAGGAATGATAAGTGGATGTTGTAAAACAATTTGATGTCCTAACCTTGCCATACAAATGTTTTAATAATCTGTGAGATTCTATGCTTAAAATCAAGGCTTTAACAAGTGGCAGTTTCCTAAGTATTGCATGGGATTAGTTAGTGAAAAGTCCAGAAAGAATACATACTTCTAAATACAGTATATGACTGGCTGAACTAGTGAATTTTGACAACTTATCTCCAACTATATGAGATGAGAATCTAGCAAACACCATTTTTTAAAAATTGCTTTATATAACAGCATTAATAGCTGTAAAGCAGCCCCATATGCTGGAAATGAAAAAATATCTTACAAACAAAAGTATCTTACAGACATTAAGGATATTATTAACACTATTCAGGGTTAAATGTTACCATTTCAAATCACCAAATATGTGTGTATGGCAACCTAAACCTTAAATAGAAGACGATATGAGCAAATGGAGTGGAACTTTTCAGAGTTTAAATTTTTAAAAAATATATGAGGTAGTCCTTGACTTTGGTCATGTTTTCAGACAAAACCTTTGGAAATGTTCCCAAATGCTGACACTTATGTATGCATGCACTGTAAATTATTTCCCCCTCCATTGTACATTGGTCTACTGAATTAACTGTATTATCTTTATTCCATCTTGACCTACTCCTGTGTTTACACTCCAGTTGGTAGAAGTTGTGTTCTTTTGCACTTTTGTAGACTATAACTGAAACTAGAATTTGGGGAGAATGCCTAGTTTTCCCTTTCTAAAAATGTGTTTAGTTTTGCTTTGTTCTTTTTTTTAAAATAAACAAGTTGGCTCATGAAATAATATTTTTAATGCTCCTAACTCTGATGCTATTTTGGATTTCCTTGTCACTTTTCTACAGCATGTGAAAGCCAGAATGAAGATGATTTTGCATCACACTAGACATCTTAAATTTGACAAAAGATTGAATGATACATGTGTGGATCATTTAGCCATCTGCTTTGTTCTGGACTTTAAAAGAAAGAAGTAATAGTAGGCTGGGCAAGAAGTGTTAATCACTGAATTTTCAACTTCATCATAACTGGCTTGCTGTAAGACTTTTGAAAAGGTAAATGTTGATTGAATAACTTTATTTGAAAAGCTTTTAAAGTGGTCTTTGTGTCACCCCATTGTCTACTTGTGAACATAGGGGTGCTTTTGGTTTTGCTTTTTTGTGCTACTTAGTTTATGGTTTTTGTATACAGTCCTAAGAGTTTCTATGTGCCCTCAATATAGTAAAACACAGCCTTTGTATGTTAACAACTTCTATTGCGTCTCTACTTATTTTATTTAGAGGTGGCAAGAAAAATGGCCTTTTCTTATGAATATAATCAGCATTCATCTTACCTAAAGTTGTACAGACTTTGTAATATAATATTGCGAACAGTGCTGTAAAATGGGATAGTGTGGATGGAGAACTGAAATTCCTGTTTAGATTACTATAGTAATACTTGTATTACAATGCAGCATAGTAGAAAGATAAATGTAAGAAAAAGAAAGGGCATATTAAAATTGGGCTTCATGGCAAACCAATCATGTTTAAAAAGTAGATTCAATATAGGTGAAATTACATATGTACTGTGTGGTATTAAGTCATGAAGTAAAATCTGCAGTAAAAGGGAATGCGGAAAGCACATGGATCCAGTTTTGCTTTTTAACTTCAATTAAAAAGTATCTCCATTTGTTTTCTGATGAAGAGGAAAGTGTTATGTATATTTTAGGAACTTTAAAATTTTCTCTAATCTTAATTTTTAAAGATTAAATTATCTTGTTTTTAAATTCTGTCCTTTGGTTATTTAAAATACCCTAAATTGAATACTTGGCAAATAGCATGCCCTGTTTTCTTATGCATTGCATTAAAACTATTTTCATTTGATACATGGAATTTAGTGATTTTATGAATTTATAAATGAAGCCTATTAATGTCTGGTTTTTCTTTGTTAACATTTGATGTAATATATTTAAGTCAATCTTCCCTCTTTGATCTCCTGTAGGTTAGTGCATTATTCTTTGACCCATTTTTTTCCTGGGTCAACTGACATAATTATATAAGACTTTTGGATTATTTTGAATTACATGGAGGCTGCAGATCCTCTGCCATTTCATTTGGGTCTCTTAACCTAAATCAACTTTTATCATCACATATTTATTCATTGCTTTAGCTGTAATATTTCCATTCTCTCTTTCCATGCTGTTCCTTCATTGTAGAACTTTCCATTCATGTTAACAGGTCTACATTTTTTTGTACATTATGCCAAAATTTTACCTGAAGACCTTTAAGTATAGTAATAGCTCCTCTATCAAGCATCAGAGAATAGTTCCTCAAGTTAATTTCCACATTCTTGAAGCTTACTGCTATAAGCACTAAAACTTTCTAGATTATTGGAATGTATTATATGGTTGTCCATTTACTTAAACAGAAGATACTAGATGGAATTAACCTTCTTTTGAGGGCTGAGTCATTGTAGTCTGTGCTGTGATACAGGTCTTGTTGCCTATGTAGGTGTATACCGTTATTCAAGCCTATATCATAGCCCTCAAGCGTTGTGCTTTTTTGAGTTCTTCTCATTTTGAATTCTTCTGATAATTTTTGACTGCTCCATTGTTTTCAACTGTCACTTCAGCATTCTACAATTTAGACATCTGGGAAACCATTTAACCAGGTTTGTTTTAATTCTAGATAAATTAGAAGTCATCTCTAAGCAAGTACCTGAGGAGTTCTTTGATGAATGAAGGTCACAAGCTTTAATGTAGTAAGCCTGAGCAGCCAATAGCAGATGTCAACTGAGTCCTGTTTTGCAGTGTTCTGTATAGAACGCTGGCTGCTTCTTTATAGGAATGATGAAATGGCTGTGGAGCTATTAAATGTCCTGTCCTTGCCATTCGAATGTTTTAATACTGTATGTGAATCTAGGCATAAAATCCAGGCCTCAGTAGATGATAGTTTACTAATGGCTGCACAAAGTCTAGAAAAGATATGTCCTAAATGCAGTGACTGGTTGAACCAGAGAATATGATGTCCTCGCATAAAGGATGAAAATCTAACAAACACTTTTTTAAAAAATTGCTAGTAATATCATTAACGCAGCTCAGTCTTGTCATGCTAGAAATGAAAAGGTATCTCATAAGCTAGCACAGTCTATTATGAGTATTGTTTGGAGTTAAAGGCTAACATTTGAAGTTGTCACATAAATGAATTATTTCTATATAGTGGGATACTTAAAAAAAAGTTATTCCTTGTTTTAACTGAAAATTTAGAGAATTAAAGTAGGAAGGTGTTTTATGTAATGAAAAACTTCGAATTTGACATTTTTTCAGGGTGGGAGGATATCATAAGTTAGATGGCAGCACTTATTTGATAAAATAGGACATAGTCAAAGAAATAGGGTAGCCAGCGTCTATGAGATTCAGGTGCCCAGTTATTTACCAGGCATGAAGGAGAGTCCTCTGATCATGGATGGAATATGGGAGATATCCCATAGTTGAAAAACTGTACGTTTCTGTACATTTCCAGCAGGCTACAATGTATAGTCCCAACAAAAATTTTAGAATCAATAAATTGTAAAAAAAAAAAACAATGTATCTGATTTTGCGGTGGGAAGTCAGTATAAAAGGATTTATTTTAATCAATCTGATTAATTAACAGTCTTCCATAAAGTGAGACACACATGCCCAAGAAAATTAGTTGTGATATTATCAGTTCATATTTGACTTTTATTGGCAGATTGGAACTAAAGTTCCTTAGGGAAATCTGGTTAACCTAGTGCTTATGATGGGATCTTTCTCTCTAGGCTCTGTTAAAAAAAAAAAAAAAACCAACAACAAACTGACCTTTATGCTGTATAATGTCTACTGACTTGAGATATTTAATTTTAGAAGTGTCCTGAAGCCAGAATGAGAATTTACAGGTATTTTATTTTTTTAGGTTCTTTTATACTTCCTGTGCCAATCCCTCAGACTCATATCTGACCAAAAGTGGATAGAAAAGTATGGACAAGATGGAGTGGACTGCACCACCCAGCTGCCTGAAGGCACTCTTAGCAAATTTGCAGATGACAAAAAATTGGGAGGAATACTCAGAATGACATATTAAAGATCTAAAAAGGTGACCACATGCTAGAATAGTGGGCTGAAAGTAATGTGAAACTTCATAGGGATAAACAAACATGACACTGAAGAAAACAAGGATGATGATCAGCTAGATTAAATTTACAGTGGGGTTTGTGCGTAAGGCAAATTTGAAGGTGCTGTCAAGTCTCAAGATTCATGAAAGTGTCTTAGAAAAAATATTTGTCCTGACCAGAGGCATCTAGGGTGTTACAATATTCTGTGCCTGGAATCAGGAAGACCTGAACTCGAATTTAGCTTTAGACACTAAGCTAAAAGACCTTGGACAAGTCACTTAGCCTGTCAGCCTCAGTTTCCTCATCTGTAAAATGGGAATCATAATAGAACCTACTTCTTAAGGTTATTGGGAGGATCAAATGACATTTTAAAGCATTTTGCAAACCTTAAAGTTTAACTCTATAAATGCTAGGATGTTAAAAAGAATGTCAGTAATTATCCACATACCCACTTTACCATCTCTACAAAAATTATATAAGGATAATCTGTATGCACATTGACAACACTTTTAAGGTTTGAGAAAGGAACAGGAAGACTTGTAAACTTTTATAGAATGACCACATCTTTATAGGCATATGATTCAAAGGTGCAAAGAATACAATGAGCTCATTGTGCTTTACTATTTATTGATTATAAACAGCATTTGATTTAGTACAGGAAAATGCCACTTTTTTAAAAGCAAGAAAAAAACCAACCAGATCAAGAATGATTGTACGGATGGATGGATAGGACATAGAAAAGAGACAGACATTGCAAATGGATCATGAGTCTGGTCTGTAGTTGAACAAGAGCAAAGCAGGACAGATTGTATTTGAGAAATACAAGATGCTTTTCTCAATAACCCTAGGCTTCTCGCTGAAACAAAGGCCCATTCTTTAAAATAGTATTCTCCTGAGCAATTATGACCAATTTCTGAATTAGAAGTTGAGGATCCCTGAAAGGGTAATGAAGAGGGACATAGCAAACATAAGCAAGCAGCAACACATCAACAAATGAATTGTACACAGATGTAAGAGATGTCATTGGACAAATATACGGCTAGGAAAAAAATAGGCCTGTCATGTAGCAAGATCAGACAATAGATGACATTGTCAAGCTGAAGGCCCACAGGGGAAAAAAAAATAGGCCAGTTGCATAGAACATGTAGGCATGGATAAGTTGAGATCATGGTAAGGGAGCAACCACAATGATGAGATCATAGATCCATCCAAGTAAATGGTAAAGTTCTACACTGGACTTTTTATCATTTGCACAAATTAGGGAAGGTGAGGCTAGACACCAGTTCATGTGAAAAATATACCTGGAGATTTCATTGGCTTGCAAGCCTAATTTGAATAAGCAGTATGATGTGGAAACCTAAACAAAAACCTAATGCATTCAATTGAGTTAATAAGAATATGGTACCCAGAGTAAGGGAGATAATTATCCTGTCTTCATGCTCTGGTAAGTCCATACCTTTAGTGTTAGGGTCTAGGCACCAAATTTTAGGACACTGACAATCTAGTGTATCCAAAAGAGAAATCAGGATTGTGAGAACTGTAAATAATGCAGGAGATTGTTACTAGAGATGTTTATTTGCATGGGAAAGAGAAGACTGGGGGAAAGAGGGTTAGAGCTGATAGTTTCAAATACATGAAAGGACCGCCATGCGGAAAAGGGAATAAATTGGTTTTTGTTTGGTCCCAGGTGGCAATATTATGTAGAGGAACAACCAGTAAGTGTTTGAAGAAAGAATTCAAGCCAAAGTCTACTAAGCCAGTCTACTTTAAAGAAAGTGTATTTTCTGTCACTGGAGGCCTGCAATCAGGCCAACTCAGCTGAGATATTTTAAAAGGAGATTTCTTATTAGGTTGTCACAATGCCTCTTCCAATTCAAGTGAGGGGAGATAATATTCTTTAAAGTAAGCATTCTTACTTTAAGTCATTTGGCCTCTAAGCAATGCTATTCATTTTTAAATCTTAGTTTGAAGGATAGTATCTCTCTAGGTTCTTTCCTGTGGTGAAAGACAAATGATTGCCATTTAGATGTTCTGTTTCACTGCTTGGCATTTCTTGTGAGAAGGATGATCCCATATCTTCTCTGTGTTATTAGAATGCAGAAAATAATTAAACTAATTTATTAAATAAACTAATAAACTTTGGTTGACATATAAGTTGATGAACTGATGTGTTAGAAGAGATTTTATTGTAAAGATATTTAACCCTTTTCTCAGGGAACAAGAACCAGTGAAATGGATATGCTTAAGCCCTCCTTGCTGATTTCCCATTTCTTTACCTCTCCTCTGAAAAAGTTAAAGCAGACTGAATGGCAGGAAAATATAGATGCCAGTGGCATAGTGCAATGAAGGATGCCATACAGTAAAATAATTTTAAAAGGGTCCTTAGGTAGCTCATAGTAAGTACAAGCAGCATAAGGAAAGGTGGTTCTAATATGGAAACAATTCCCTTGAATAACAGTTGGAACTTAATATTGAAAAGAAACTGAAATTTAGGTTATCTTTTGCTATAGATGAGATTTCTAATATAATGTTATCACAGGTACTGGAGTATGTAGTTTTAACATATTGATAGGTTGTCTTATATACAAAAATCTGGAAACCTGCATTCTCTCATTTATATCCCCAAGAAAAACAGCCTGTATATTGAGTATTTTGTATATTTGATTATTTCCATCCATATTTAAGTCAATGTCTCTGCTTCTCTGACTGTTGGTTTTTGTTTTTTAGCTTATATTGAGTGATACAAAAACTCTTTGATAGAGAATACTGTCAAAATACACTACTTGAATGTGTGATTTGGGCAGGGGCCTTAAAAGGGCAAAAGTGCCTAAGGAACATTTTAGTCCCAAGAAAAAATATTAAAAACATGAGTGAAGAGACTTTACAAATCATTTAGTCAAGGTGATACAGGAAATAAGTAGGAATTTGATTAAATTGTACAGCTGATGTTAACAATACAGCAAACATAGTAAGGAAATATACTCTGATTAGGTGATATTGTAACAAATGGACACATTTTTGAGAATGGAAATTTTTAACTCAAGGACTTTTTCATATCCATCTCCCTGACTTAACAGGTTAAGATAGCTGACACAGATCTGCAGCAAAACTGATCCAAGTAAATAATCCATTATTGATATAATTGGCACATACTTCATAGTGATATGGAAGTGACTGTGTTCTTAAAGTCAAAACAAAGGAAACATAAGGCTGTGACAAGTCCTATCAAATTGGAAAAGTTTTGTGTATGACCCATTGATGTTTGCTGTCCAAGGACCAGCCTAAGTCCAGAGACTTTAATCACCAGAGGCTGGTAATTTTTTTTTTCTGCAACAGGAAACTTAAGACAGTAAGACAGGTAGTAATAACATACCAATGAATCCTTGGAATATCTTAGTAAATTTTGTAAAAATAAAGCTCCTCAGGTAAGGAGGTTGTGTTCCCTGGTTCCAATTTAATGTCTGTGGCAGACAGGTTAATGAGTTCTAATTTCACAGATCTTCAAAATAAATTCATCACAAAACTAAACAATGACCGATTAAAACCTATTGCAGGGAAAGCTGACTACAAAACTCAGACCCTAAGAAAAAAATGATTGCCACAGTTTGGGGTAGGTCAAAAGGTAGAGAGGTCTACCTGATTTTTCGCTTTGTTCAGAGGGTTTTTGGATGTGATCAGGAAGCTTATCTATGATATCCAAGCTGCCTAGGAAGAGACACCTACTCATCAGACTAGCTGTGTCGAAGACAATAAGCTGTGCTAATTAAGTGCCCAGATTAATTTGACTATTTTGAGAATTAAATTTTAGTTTTTAAAAATGTAGTGAAATGTTTACTTAGTCTTCATTTATGCAAACAAACTTCAAATTGCTTAGGAATAAATACAATGTATTCGGAACAAATCTGATACTCTTGTCACTCTGTAACCTTCAGAACCAATTTTTTTTTTAAACACATATAATCTTGTCTGTGTCCTCCCCAATAAAAATATTATTTGGATAGAGAATAATTTTGGTGTGTTAATTGCATTTTATGACTGAAAGTCTAATGCTTTTTTTTTTCCTTTAATGCTCTGATGTAATTTTAACTTTTTCCATTTTTCTTTAAAATAAGAAATATGGTTCAAACCACTTTAAGATTTAAGATTAATCAGGTTCAAAATCATTTTTTGTGGTAGCAGTACTTTAGGATTTTAAGTGACAGTCTCTTAGAGTATTTTATGTTCAAAGGCATATGGTCATAACGCCTTGGTTAACTATTCAGTAGCTTAATGGTACTCATGTTAAACTTAATACCAGAAACGCCATCCCACTCCTTTTACCTCAGAGTAGCAACAAGAAGCAGAGAGAGAGAATTGTTCTCTACAAGTTGGATATGTCCAAACCAGCACCAACTCTTAAGTCAATTGTAGGGTTGTTATTCCCTTGTTCACCTAATTTTTATGGCTACTCTGGCCAATTAATATTTTAATTGCCAGTGTCTAGATTCCCTTTATTGTTGAGATGTGGCAAGTTATTCTTGGCATAGATATGGAGAGACTTAAACCTACACGCTCCTCTTTCTTTTGGAGACTAATAAATAATAGTGTTATAAGCACGTGAACTTCCACTCCATTAACCGTAATTTAATTTTCCTCAGAATCGACACCCCCCCCCCCCAAAAAAAAATCTGGTGAAAAATGAGGTCTTAGAGCTGTGTTTAAAAACAAACAACAAACAACTTTTCTTAATCCTTAACCACATTTCACAATGGAGTTCCAACCTTTTTTTGTAATGTGGTGACAGAGCCCGAATCAAATCAATCATGTTAACTGAAAATAAATAGAAAATTTCACTTTAGAGTATAAACAAATGTAGCCACAACTTTTTTGAATGAGTTAGAAAATTACACCTGTCTGTGACTAGTGTGAACCTAAGCCAGTTCCTTATCCTCTTTGGACCTGTCTCTTTCTCTGCAATGTGGAAATAATACTTATACTACCCAACTCACAGGGTTGTAAGAAGTGTTTTGTAAGCCTTCAAGTGCTATAGAAGTGTGAATTACTGGAAAAAGCAAGTAAATCACACAATCCAAGGAATGATTTACAGCAAATAAACCTGTAAATGGTCAGAAAAGCAGGGTACAAACTGATCTTAATGTAAAACAATCTCTAGAAACACCATATATATACACCACTAAACAAAGTAAACTGTTGCCTCTGTTATTAACCTTGATAGCCTACTGGTTTCTTCTGTGCTAAAAGTGCACACCTGGGTTATTTAAAGAGCCATGCTTCATAATAATATTCTTTCAATTAAGAATGAGGTAGAATACAATGTTATGAGGTAGAATTTAGCCAAATATTCAGTTGCCTTTTACTTCCATGCTGAGAAAATGAACATATCAAAATCCCCTTAAGAATAAGGTGTTGATTTAGCAAGCTCAGAATGTGCCATCCAGAGTCAAAAAGTATGCCAGGCAAGGAGGGCACCAGGCCTTGCCTTGCAGCTGCTTCCCAACTTCTAGTATAAGTACTTGGCATTTTCTGTAGTTATAACAAAGATTAATTCCACATAAAATCTGTTGATTAAAACCTTAAATGCTGCTTTTTTAAATGACCAAAATAGATCTTTCAAGCAAATTTTGCAAACTAAGTTTCACAAGAGGTTTACTAGTATGTCTGTGATTTATATTGTTAGTTTATAGGACCGGACATCAGGTAAGGGTTTATTTGTTTGTTTGTTTGTTTTAAACCCTAGAGCACTGGGAATCATTATAGACTCAACATGTAAATAAGAAAATTATCAGTAAGCATAATCTGTAGGAGTAAATTAGACTGGGCTAAGCTACCTGGCATCCACACTAAGTGTGGTTCCCTGGAGTGAGGAGGCCATAGGCTGTCCAAGGAGAATTGAACCTTTCTAGGACAAATAAATAGATAAATAAATACGTGGATAAATACATATATAAACACACAAAGGAAGTGGATTTTAAGTCTAATGCAATTTTAGCCTTTAAAATTAAAGTCAGGGGCAGCTAGGTGGCACAGTAGATAGAGCACTGGCCCTGGAGTCAGGAGGCCCTAAGTTCTAATCCAGCCTCAGACACATAACATACAGTAGCTGTGTGACTCTGGGCAAGTCACTTAACCCCAATTGCATTTAAAAAATAAGTCAAAGTCAATTATGGAATCTGAATGAAGAAAAACATTTTTTTTCTGCCTGCCTTTCCTAGAGGCATTTATGACACACACCTACTCCCTCTCTTTATACACACACACACGTATATGTGTATATGTGTGTGTGTGTGTATACACACATAATTTATTCTTGGATGAAATTTTCAGATTTCAGTTTATGTTTATATTTATATCTGCTATACAAACATAAGAAAAATGAAACTGATGGTTTTTTTTTTATTTGTTTGCTAGGCAATGGGGTTAAGTGACTTGCCCAGGGTCACACAACTCGTAAGTGTTATGTGTCTGAGGCCAGATTTGAACTCGGCTCCTCCTGACTCCAGGGCCAGTGTTCTATCCACTGTGCCACCTAGCTACCTGAAACTGATTTTTCCAACTACCTTCATTTATGTAGTCCTTGAGCATTAGGGCTTATGCCATTAAAGTTCATAACAACATTCTTCTATCACAATGAAGCCACATAAAGTCACAAATTTGCAATAATGCACTGCAATGGCATTTAAATGTGTAGCCTCTACTAATGCTCAGTGTTAAGCATATGCCACAGAGATTTATCTAGCAGTATCTGAACAGACTACATGCAATTGATAAGATAATGACAAAGTATTCTGTCTTAAGGATGCAATTATATCTGGGAAATTTTCAAGATTAGTCTAATCATATACATAATTCTTAGTTGTATTTTTTCCATATTAAAAAAAAATAATGAAATATATCTGTAGAACTACAGAATCACTTTATCATAGATTTAGACTTGGAAGGGACTGTCTTGTCCAGCACCTTCATTTTCTGATTTTTAGATGAGAACCTGAGAACCAGAGATTGACTTGCTCAAGGTGACACAGGCAGTAAGTGACACAGCTGGGACTCAAGCCCAGCTTGTCTGGCTCCAAATCCAGAGACTGGTGATTCTTGTCTTACAGTTTTTATATTGGAACGTGTTTGGTCCTCATTCTTGAATGTTTTTATATTGGAACATGTTTAGTCCTCATTCCTGAATGTTTTTATATTGGGACGTGTTTAGTCCTCATTCTTGAATGTGTGGAATTTTAGGTTGGATGCAAGAGAAAACGAGTCAGATCTGGACCTTTCCCAAAACCTCATCTATTCATTACTAAGAACCATGAAAAATCGGAGCAAACAACTTCTGGTCAAGATAGAGACTATGTGGTTAGTGCACATACTGAAGGTGAAGATCATGTACAGAGTCCACCCGTGATTCTGTAGCTGCTTTTACAACGTGAGCTTAGGTGTCTTTCAGCTCACGCTGGTTTAGAGGCAAGACATGAGGTTTGAGTGCTAAAGGTAAACACTGACAGCTAGAAAAGACAACTAAAAAACCATGGTGTAAACCTATGGCCATTTACTGCAGTAGCTAACTAACGGCCCTCCACATATTCTGGGATCATCACTGTACAATAACTGACATTCATAATGATTCTGAATATAAGAAAGTGTGAATTTGGGAAATTTTCAAAAGTGATTTTAAAAAGGCATAAACTTTACCTGGAAAATTCATTTGTGTGTAATAATTCATTCCTGGAAAGATATACCAGATGATGGGTTAGTGTATATTATTTTACACATCATTTATTGTTCACAAATATTTGGTTGTCATCAACTATTAGGACGTTTCTGTACTTCCTTTATTATCTTCTCTAGAGGACAAAACCGAGTGGGGAAAAAAAGATCTGTTTTCCAGAATAAAGTCTACCAATGAACAACTAGTTTAATAGCCTTTTTTTACTTATCCTCCTAATAGTGTAACAATGTTATCCAGTAATATTTATACCTTTCCCAGGGATGTGGCGAGAACAAATGAAAGAAGTCCTTTAGCACCTTAGGTTAAAAGTTAAATATATTTAAACACGCACTAAAAGTGAATTTGCCACCCACTCCTCTACCCCTGAATGCAGTTATGTATACAAATGTTTATGCTCAGGACTCCCAACAAAGAGCAAAAGTTCTGTTCTCTTAATAGACCGTACAATATGTCATGACTTTAAGTAAGCTGAGGGAGGCTAGAAACTCTTTAAAAATGGAATACTGCTCAATATACCTTCAAGTTTTACAACCTATTATGAATAAAAATGACTAGATTTGACATGAAATTGAATTTTTATTACTATAAGATGTAACTAATATGAAAAAAATTAACTTGAAATAGAAATTATAGAAATAAAAAACGTTCATTGCTTCAGGTAAAGTACAACACTCCTTATGCTGTTTTCTTTTTCTACTTAATACATGCTGGTTACTGTGCAGTCTTTACAGAACATTATTAACAAAAATTTAGGATCTACAGAGTCTAAGCAGTTCTTAAAATTTTAATTTTTCATTTGGGGTTTATCTCCACTCTATTTTTCATTATATAACATCTACTTATTCCTTGAGTTATTTCTGTTAGGAAATTGTGTTCCAATTAAAGATTTAATTTGCTACATATGAAATTCACACTCAAGGAAATAGAAGAGTCTTTAGTAGATACCTGACACCCCACCCGTGCAGAAAGTTATGCCAACACTTTCCATAACAAATTTCCAAGGATACTAAATTTGACAGTCACTAACAGCCACTATCCATCCGCCCTAAGACAAAAACCGTCAGTTCTTAAAAAGAAGTAATTACCTTTACCAAGGAGTCAATGAATGAACTGTAAAAAGCCAAGGAACATGACTTAACAGCTTTCTCTTAGATGAATTTGTCTCCAAGAGAACACATTTTGTGATATGGTATTTAAAGTTTCCATGTAATAAATTGCATTTTGTGGCTTCGTTTATTTTGGCTGGTAGCACTGTTTGAGGGCCTTGGCCCAGAAAATTATTTCTCTCTAAATATATTACATAAAAAGGTTCTCTGCATGCACAAGAGTGGTTTTTATTATGTCTTGTGGCAACATTTTTCTACAGAAAAGCATCTCCCAATTGTATAATACAAATCAGTGAGAAAATGATTGAGTGGACAGAAATTTTGCTAACATATGAGGAATGTATCTACTGGCTAAAATGAGGCACATTTGTACATATGAATGATTGGTTATGAGGGCTTATTAAGAAATGTCACATATGTTGATTACTGAAATACTAAGATACAAAAAAAATACCCTTTTCTCCTTATGAATGAAATTCTTAGAATCCAATTGGCTCAACAGGTTTTGAAACTGGCTTCATTTGGTATAAGTATATCAATATTTTCATAATTACGAAGTTTACCGCCTAAGCTGGGATATGTCATCTCTGGTCCAAGAGCTAGGCCTGAGCTACTACTTAATTTATAATCTAACTCTTCACAAGTATTCTACAAATATAGATCTACGAAAGTAATATTTTAATACATGCAAGTACCAATGATAGTTACTTAGCAATAACAGTGGGTGGGAGGATGTCTGCATTGGCATGGCAACCTGTGAATAATTGTTATTTCTTGAGTATGGCCCTTGATTGTTGCTTGTAGGCCAATGATTTTCAGGCCCATGATAAGAAAAAAAAAAAGAAGGAAAAGGAAAGGGGGGAAAAAAGGATTTCCAGCCCTGGTTTAAATATGAAACGTATTCAGTATGTGCTCTTATGTTACATTTCATTCAATACAGTCACAATATCAATAATATTATAACTAGACAATTAGCTTAGAAATAGTGCTGGAGTTCTCAACTAACAAATATAACACTAATGAAACAAATTAAGAGTTCTCAAAGAACTCAGTATTCTTACACACAGTTTTTCCCAGTGGGAATAAGGGAAGAAAGCAGAGTAAGAGAGGGCATCTTTACTCACTGATTTGCCCCAGGTAGTATAACAATTTGTACTACACTATATAGATTGCAGCAAAGAAGATGACAGAAGTGTCTAAATGATGCTTCTCCCATCACTCAATAATGCATTCTGCTAAGCCAGCAGAACCTTCTTTTGCACCACAAGAAAAAGAAAAGTCCCTTTCTTCACTTCTCAGAACTGTCAATAAAAACAAGTATACACAGTAAGAAAACTAGCAATTTAACTTCACACAAAGGAAACAAATTACAGAGACATGACAACATTTTTCTACTATTTTACAATAAACAAAATCCCTCATGTTGCGAAAACTAGTATAGCAATTTTAATAAACTTCAAAGGTCATTATGATAAAATCTAATCTAATATGTATGAGAACATTTTCATTATCTAGTCCTTGTAGTGAAATAATGGCAATTTAAAAGGGCCAAATGAATGGACAAGATATAATTTCACTTGTAACAACCAATATGCCAACATCAAGCTTCTCGGTTTTATTCAGTACTAGGACCAGTATCCTTCTACCCCAACCAAAAATCCTGCCCAATGTCTACAAAGAGTCACACCCAAAGAAAAACCCTGACGAGCTACTGTGCAACATAACCAGAGGAACAATGGCACAGGATCAGCAGGAGCAGAGGAATGCTGAAGAGGAAAGACAATGCATAGAGTCTGACTTAGAGATGCAGTATCAAACATCCAGTGCTAGACTGAGTACTCCTATGTCATTGTCAGGATGTTCATGGACCCCTAGGAACGAGGATCTTGAACCACGCTTACAGGATCTATAAAGAAAGTACTTCACCTAAACTGAAGTAATTTAAAAGTCAAACACCAGAAGAGTTCCTTTTTTGATGTCAGTTGTGCCTAAAACTTTGGCTGATACAAAGAAACACGTCCACTAAGGCACCCTGAGGCAATCTGACAATGTGTGGGAGAGAACTTGGTTGTCAGAACCACATCATTGTGAGAATAGAGAGAACGAATCTCCTGCAAGGGACTAGCTTCTTGGGGTAAGCAGTCGACAAGTTCATTGCACTGGGTGTCAAATCCCAACAAGCG